GCCTCTATCTAACAACACATTGGCGTAACACCCGATACTCATTCTCTGTAGACTGATGTTCTTGTCCTTGTTGTGTTGCTCTGCTCACGCACCACGGATCTCGCTTGTAAAATAGATGCAACTGGCTAAATGGGGTCATCCGTGCAACAACTAATATAAACTTAAATGCTTAATTTGGTTAGCTCTTGCACATTAAAAAAAAAACTCTATCGCTGTGGCGATGTCGGAACAATGGCAACGTCGAAGCAACCATGTTGAGATTCACTTCCACTGTGATTTCATTAATTGTCATTACAAAAAAAAAGTCAATTTTTGTCTCACTTATATTGTCTCATATGCATCGTCTGCGCGTATGTTTATTATTTACTTGTTTATCCTATGAATGTTACAATAGATCAATAAAAATGTATTCTTTCATTTATATTCCACGCGTCGAATCGTGTGTCGTGGGAATCGATTATTTAGGATTTGTGTGTGTTGCATGCAGCAGGATTACGTGACCGCTGTAGTCACTCGAGATGCTATGGTCTGATTGATTAAAGACATTTTAAATAGTGACATTGAGTTGACAATTCACAGCATCCTTGCGTGGTTAGCCAATCCATACCTTGTCTATCCTGCCTCAATTTTACTGTCTCATCTATTCCATCTCGCTTGTTCTGACCATGAAGACCAAGGAAATTCTTCGAGTGAGATTTAGGGCAATTGAAGATAATCGCATGCTATTCGATGCATGCATCATGAGCCTTAGAAGCGCTATGAATGAATGACTTATTACTCGTCTCATGTGTGTCGCACTGCTTGTTGCTGTCAGCCATCAACACTGCAGTGCTGATGACTCATCCAGTGCCACTTTGTCAGAAGCAATCGTTAATTTGTGCGGAAGCATAGGTCTGACTCTTATAGCAACATTAGCAAAGCCATAGAGGAGGCTCGCTGTCTTTGAGAGCAAGCTTGAAGGCATGTAAGTAAGCAGATATTACCCTAACCACTACTGTAATGTAATTATGTTGTCAAGAATGGCTTGACAAATGTAAGCATCTGTTTCATTGCATCAATGTATCATTTTTCCTAACGTTTGTTTATCGTTTTGGGAAATATGTTCATGGCTGCGGAAAAGAACGTATCTGAAGTATGATGATGCCTTATCCATTCCAATAAGGGCAACGCATCATAAATGCAGAGTAGCGTCCATGATGAATGGTGTATATTTGCATAATGCAGTATATAAGAAGATGGTCTTGAAGTTTTGCCAAGAGACATGAATTTTTCATTTTAATTCACAACAGCGAGTTAATTACTCGTGTGTTCAGTAGCCATGTAATGACTCTCGCCGCCCACACCCCTCCCCTAGCCATCTCGGTGATTCCATTAGTTGGCACAATTTGGGGTCACGATCCAATTCAAGAATCAATTCGTTTTTGTCTCGTTTTTTTCCCGTTTCTGCAGTTCTGCTCGCTCCATTAGCCTAAATGTAACATTAACATACCAATTGCATAAATGTAAATAAATTATTCCCACACGCATGATTAAATTAATGTTTCGTGAGTGTACACATCAAACTGTATTGATAATTGTAATTGATACATCGTTGCATGCTTATTATTTATTCAGTTAAATAAGCGAATGTAGACAATAATTAGTTGAATCATACAAATTTGCACAAAAAACAGATTCAGTTGGTGCTGGGCAAGACAGAAATATAGAAATGTACATGGCAAATATATTCTGTATATATTTATATCAAATACAACGCCTCAAATGTATTGATTTGTCAGTGTCATTGATCGTGAGAAATTTCCACCGTCATTTGTCACATTTTGATGGGTTGTTACTTGATGTAAGCTCCGTGAGTGGTAAGATCCAGTCTGGTATAGAGTTGAGCCCTAACCCCATGTTAAATGGAGGCTGTGTCAAGAGTTATCCAGTGTATGAGTACATCCGGCAAAATGTTAACTACCTTGCCTGGTATATAGGTCGTTGGTTCAATCCCGACCCTGACAAGGCCTGTATATCTGGAGTTTGCACGTTCTTGTGGTGCCACAGCGACGGGGCCGCTCTGCCGAGCCAGGGAGCCGCCCGGCTTCCCCCACCGCACTGCCCCCAATCACCCGCCCCACATAAGCACACACCCGCACGCATCCCCCCCCCCCCCCCCCCCATAGAGCTGGAAGGGAAGGTTACCTGATCGACCGGTTTTTATCCGAGAGACCCTTATCGGGATTAATTCTCACGGTTTCCGGCGATCAGGGAATTGGATGACCTCCCCCGTGCTACGTGGTACCGCGGCGCTGCTGCCGGCCTTAATATGGTGTGGTCGCGGCGTGGGGCATTCGGCCACCGCGGTTGAGGCGCATTTCCCCCCACACACACCCCCACGAGTCGACGGGGCAAGCAGGGGAGGCACGGGACAGCATGAATAGCGGGGTCACAGGGGCTGTTGCGCATAGTCATGGAGGGTTGGGATAATTGCGCTTGAGCGCGCAAGCCCCATTGGTAGGAAGGGTAAGGGAGTAATTAGGATTTACGCCTTGCACGCAGCACACTGATTAGCATATCAACAGCGCCTGGGGACTGCCGTGCGCGGGCTTGGGGTGCACGAGCCCATTGTTCAGCGCAGCATCCCCTTTGGGAGGTAGGGAGGATAAATAGAGGAGCGCAGAGGGGAAATCGCTCTCTTACTCCAGCGCCAGGCGACCAGACGCAGCTCGAGCCAGCGACCCGGACGTCCGTGCGACGCACCGAGGCACGCGGTTAACACAAGGATCAGCGGACCGCCGTGGACACTTAACAGTGAGTAAGAAGGGGAATTAGAATCATAGCCGATAAATAGGGAATAGGTACAGGTTTAGTGGAATAGGCCAGCCTCGTCGACTCACTGATTCAACATCAATTCGCAGGTGGCATATAATAAATCATTAATAGCGAAGCGTGGTCTCGCGTGATCTTGTCGTGCAGTGTGAGCGTGTGGGTGCGCTGTGTGCACAGTGGTTCGCCACGTGAGTGAGCGCTGCGCGGAGCTGAGCGCGCGGGTTGCGTGTGGGAACGCGTGTGGTACTGTGTGTGCGTAAGCTCGCGGCGTGCGTAATCGGCGTACCCCAGGTGCGCGATTGTAACGTGAGCGGCCAGCGCGGCGCAGAGAAGCGCAAGAGTGAGTGCCGTACAGAGCTGTGTGTGTGGGTGTGCGCGTACGTAATTAACCATGCCTGCTACGCGGACCCGCGGTGGAGTGGAACCCTCGGGCGACGGCTCCCGCACCATGGGTGAGGAACTTAGCAGCGGTTCGCTTAGCAGCGGGGGGGCGATTGATGATGCTAGCCCGGCCGTTAGCATTATCGAGGGAGGGATTTCGGGGGCTAGCGACCCCCACATTCTCCCCGTGGTCCAAAGGATTCTTCTCCAGATGTCCTCCGATTTTTCCCTCCACATTTAGAAACATTCGCTTAGAGTATTTGACTGCTGTACATTTCCACGTGATTAGCCAATTCGTTGTGCTATCATTTGTGGTCAGGTTGCTTCTGAAAAAGAGCTTTCAAGCTCAGTGGGCCTTACATGCTAAAATGAAAACAGTTTAGTTTAAAGAGTTTAGTTTATCCGGTACACAGATATGTCCTTGCAGCCAATATGAGACACGCTCACAAGAGGCTTGCACCTACAAACCAATACAATGCCTGGATTTATAGAGCATCTAAATGCAACAGCCTCTCAAGGCGCTGGAAGTAAAATAGCGTGATGCATTTCACGGGGGGAAATGGAGCATAATCGCGTTGTACATTGACATTGTATTCAGAGAAGTGGCAGTCGTTGTCGGCAGAGGAGAATAGGAAAGTTTTCAGCCTGGACTTGAACTGGTGCAGGGAGCCGGCAGCAGGAATGGTTGGAGGCAGCAGGGTAGACGTGGATTGATCTCTTTTGTGAAAGTATTGAGCAATAGTTGACAGGGGGCTTCATTGGGAAGCCTTCATTACAGGTGTGGAGAGTGCGTGGAGTGGAGTTCAGTTATTTGCGAGGTAGACAGGGGCAAGTCCTTGGAGAATCTTAAAGACATTGAGTGCATTATTGACATTGATCCTGAACAGATTTGGGAGTCAGCGGTGAGAATGGAGTGTTGGGCTGTAGTGGTCTCCATATTCAGGAATGGGTAAGGATTGTCTGGAGTTTGGAGGCGAGAAACGTTGGGGATGCCAAAGAGTGTAAGAGTAGCCGAGTTGACACGCGATAAACCCGGCCGCAGAAAACTCCCATGGGCAGGGGTCGGCAACCAAAATAACAAGAAGTAATTTTTTTCCAATTCAGTAAAAAAACGATTTCAAGAGCTACAGTGCATGTGAATACGAGAAGGTAGTCCTTAATCAATAACGTCGCAAAACAGTCCTTAAAGAGCCGCATGCGGCTCTGGAGCTGCTGGTTGCCGACCCCTGCCCATGCCAAAGTGTGTGTCGAATCAATGCCATCCACCAGCTGCTCAGCATCTGGTGCAGCAGGCGTTCCGCTAGTCTTCACAGTTGTCAGTCTTTCCTGATAAATGTTTATCTCAGCTGTGAAAGTTGGCAGATATTCCACAAAAGAAAGAAAGAAAGGTATTTGAACATGTTGATTTTCTTTGGCAGCTCAGTCTGCTGCAATGTGACCAGTACCTGATTACAGGTCTTTGGGCCAAAAAAGTGTCTGGCTAAAAACAGAACTTGTATGGTATTTTCCATCAAACATTGTGGGATTTTTCCCATAAAGCTTTGCGGTCTATTTACATGTCAAGTCAGCGTGTTACCTAATACAGGACATCTCTTGTGCCTCCACATGTAAAATTCGATTGCCTAATGGCTTTCCAAATAAATATTAGCACAGCTGGCTATGTATGGTGCAAAATAAGTTCAACATACACGCAAACATTATCCACCAGCATTTTCATATAACAAAGGTTTGGCTTTAAATAAAAAAAAATGAAACAAGGTGGCGGCAATATGGCTGTGGAGTTGGTTGAATATTTCGGTGAAGAGTACCTTGACTTTGAACTCCTGTGCCGACCCCACCGAGGCCTCTATTAGAGGCAGGAATCCCCCGGCTGCGGCCGCGTAGCTCAGGTAGTAGAGGCACGACACCTGTGAGCACTCGAGCCCAAAGTTGTTCTTGCATGCCACGTCCACTGCATCCTTAGCAGCTGCGTGGGGCGGCAGAAGCGGTTATTAGTAGTAGCAGTTCTATGTAACAATAATAGGGGTGGCAAGGTAGTCCAGCCAGCTTATAATGGCTTGAAATAATCAATGGTGTAATTGTGGCGAATGTGAATACTGTAAAAAGATAAGCAGACAATATTTCATTAAAATGTCTCTCCTCGTAAGAAAGGAATGTATTTCCCACATAGCCAATTGGCCAATGGGTTGTGTTGGCAATATATTTTTAGGTCTCCTTCATATATCTGTCACGTAAACAGAACGTGCCAATTCGTCACTAGTACAGCACACTGGTGTATTGGAGAGCCAAGCCACAACATTTACAATCTGAGTACAACGTTTCGCCAGTAATTACAACTAGCTTACAGATATATGAAGGAGACATACGGTCTCGTTATATATATTGTTTTAATGGCTTGGCTGTGTTAGAGTCACTGGGCCACGACTGAGGTTCTGAGTTGAATCCTGGAGCTTGCTGCCCTAGGAGTTAGCAATTGTTGCAGCAATGAGCCAGCACTGCTAAACTCCTGGGTGTGAACCCAGGCACCACAAACTGGCTCTCATGGCCTAAGCCCAGTTAGCCACAACTGCACAAAAAAGACAGGTATTTAAGTTAATGTTTTCACTCATTTTGATCTGGTTCAATTCTGAGGGGAAACGCTTACAGCAACTGTCATTCACCACTAAGTGGTGGTGATATTGTCTCCACAGAGATCGTACCAAACTAGGCTCACTTTGAAGCCACGCGAAGTGTCAGGGGCATTGCTGGCAAGTCATGGGACAGTTCCAGATGGTATGGAAAAAAACACCGAGATGAATGGCATGAGACACCACCTGTGCTCCCCACTACACAGGTAGACACTTCATACTCTCATACCTTGGGTCCAGAGGTTTTGCTGTTTGAATGTCTCCATGGTCATGCTGTCAAGCTGGGCTGCCAGGGGGCATGCTGCTGGGTTGGCTGCGGGCACTGTTTGGCACAGCCGGTCTATCTGCAGTTTCCAGGGTGGACATTGCCAAGGGCGCTTTTAATATTCTTCACATTTATAGATGAATATTATATTACTAGCATTTAGCCCGTCCAAGGACGGGTGAATTGCAGTAAATCTGAAACTTGCCAGCGAAAAGCAGACCGCGACGTGATACTCATCGCATCAATTCGTGTGCAATTTGTAAGGGCCGCGGTGACACAGACCTATGTCATTTTAAGGTTATAATCCCTTGTTCATCACGACGTCCTTTTTACTTTGATGTCTCAACAGCGTGACGGAGATCGCGTGACGTGAGGGTTCTGCCTTTGTAGTGAGGGTTGTAAGTTGACGCCGAGGAGGGGGGAGGAGGCGCCTCCGCCCCCCATGTGGAGTGACGTCAGCCACTAAGTATTATGAATGGGGGGGGGGGGTGTCCATTTGGAGGACGTCACCTGCTCATGAATATTAAGGAGGGGGGCTGGTCGATGTGGAGTGACGTCACGAGCGTTAAGGACAGACATCCCTGGGTGATTAGAGTAGGTATGTGGCCGAAGGAGGAAATACATCAGAGAGTATGCCCACTGGGAAGATGGAAATGTGAAATCATCTCGCGTACAGGTGTGATGGATTATTTGATACATCATAAGACTGTGAGAGGTGACGTTGGTCTTGGGGAGGCCTACATCCAGCAGTGGATAGATAATAGCTGCTGCTGATTAAGTTGTTTTAAGTCGTATCCTGGTGTGTGTTCAAGTCAATGGGAGGTTCATGGTAGTTTTCCAATGGGAATGTGACATTTTAGTCACTGGATCAGGGACACCATTGGAAATGAGCAACATCTCACTTGTCGATTGAGTGGGCAAACACGTTGATTTTGAGCATTATTTTGTGATCCTTTCGCTGATATGGATCTGTTATGTAGTGGCTAGCACACTGCATGAATCCGGCGACCCAGGTTCGATTCCCAGCCAGGGCTGTCATCAATGGCACTTAATCATCTGAATTGGAAATGGCCCCGCCGCCTTTGCCAACTCCCACTGAGTAGAGTGGTGAAGTAGGATCATTGACTGGCTTGGTATGTTTGTTGCCTTCTAATTTTACATTTACATTTATTGGCAGAAAGTGTAATGAAGAACCATCAAAGCTTGTTCAGAAGCACAACACTGACACTTTAATGACATGCGAGCGTAATGTTCCTCTGTTGCAAGGCTGTAAATAATTATACGTTCCTCATGTGCTGCAGAACCCCCCCCCCCCCCCCCCCTTACGAAGGATGCTTAATTTAATGGCAGCGTTGATTAAATCAAGCGCTGTGGTTAATTCGCAGAATTCCCCAAGCATCGTGTGGAGACCGTTGGGGAAATTTAACGCGCGTGGGGTGCGCTCAGCGGGGGCGTTACGAGGTTCTCATCACCAGGGGGTGCTCAACGCTCAAGAACCCGCGCTGGAAAACAGATGGCAAGCACCGATAGTGTCTTGACAGCTGCAGCCTCCACACAGCAAAGCCGCTGCTGTGCACTTGCCCTCCCGTGCACGTCACAGGCCCAGCCGTATTTTTAAACATCTGCCTCTCGTGAGATTAAACAAAGCTGTGGTCTGTTCGGTACGTCTTAGAGCCCCGTGAAGTCAGTGTGTCACCGCTCAACGGCGCGTAGAGCCGGTGATCATCTGCAACGACGGCCTTAAACTGTTGGGTTTACATTCCACGTTACCGTGGCGAGGGCATCACATGTGTGAAAGTCAAAGGTCAAAGCGTCTCTTTGCTTAGGTAGGTGGTCAAATGCATTCGCAGCCCTGAGATATGCCGCAATAATACAATTACTGGCCCCACCTCTTTAAACTCAAACAACTGATAGGTAGGTGTTGAGAAAGTGACTGAAATTCCACTTTTCTGTGGTAAGCGCCAGTGCATATATCACACCTCCCCAGGACGTGTAGATCATGGGTTTTAATTAACCATACTTCACCACGTTGGTTAGTGCTCGCCGGTGAAGAGGGCCGGGGAGGCCTGAACTGTTTCAGATATTACTCATCACTGGAGCTTGCAGTGGCCATTAGTCAAACTCAGGCTCACCAGGTTCACAGCACAATGCAACAGCCAGTGAGCAAACGCTTCACTCCTACACGCGAATGCCTCCTCGGCATAAATTAACACACGTAACTTTGCATGACATTTAAAAGATTCACTTCTTGGTGTCCAGATACATATCACGGTGCCTGTGTTTGACCTCGCCTAGACAACACATGACAGAGTCATGTCACGAACGTTATAGCTTCACAAAGAAGTGTGCGGGGACCGAGCCAGCGGGGTACCTTCCACATGAAGAGCTGCAGGTCCACGAGTGCCGGCAGGGACAGGCTGGGGATGCTGGAGGAGTAGGTGCCGATTTTGGCGTTGGCGCCGCCCAGCTGACACACCTTGGTACCGTGGGTGTATTGTGGGTACACGTCCAGGCCGAGCTCTTTGAGGAGACCCATCACATGCCGTTGGGTGCTGAGGACCCAGAGGCAGGTGCCAAACAAGTTCAACGTACGTACATACATTGTGTTAAGGGGCTGCGAGGGAAATATTAGGTCTAAATAGAAAAACATGCTTATTAAATAATGAATAAACACGTCTAGGCTTTGTGATAATACCGTATATCCAGAATGTGTCAGGCAAATCGAAGTTTGCATGAACTGCAAATAATTTAAATGTTCTTGCACAATTCAATGCATGGCATCGTGTAAGAATATATATTAATGTGAGTGATTACGGGTCTACTCGATAGAACCATTGTTGATTTCGCACAAAGTAGTAGTAATTTTAGCCAATAACAACCGAACCGGGTTCAGACTTTGCGACCAAGTTATTGCGAGTGGACACGGCATACTAACGACACACCCACCAACTCGTACGCGCACTCTTGACACGTGGAGCAAGTCTCAGGTTCTATTGCGACCTAACGTCTATTTAACACTTAACACTTAGGCTGTTTAACACGTAGGCGGTTTAACACGTAGGCGGTTTAACAAGTAGGCTGTTTAACAAGTAGGCTGTTTAACAAGTAGGCTGTTTAACAAGTAGGCTGTTTAACACGTAGGCTGTTTAACACGTAGGCTGTTTAACACGTAGGCTGTTTAACACGTAGGCTGTTTAACACGTAGGCTGTTTAACAAGTAGGCTGTTTAACACGTAGGCGGTTTAACAAGTAGGCTGTTTAACACTTAGGCTGTTTAACACGTAGGCTGTTTAACAAGTAGGCTGTTTAAGACGTAGGCTGTTTAAGACGTAGGCTGTTTAAGACGTAGGCTGTTTAACACGTAGGCTGTTTAACACGTAGGCGGTTTAACAAGTAGGCTGTTTAACAAGTAGGCTGTTTAACAAGTAGGCTGTTTAACAAGTAGGCTGTTTAACAAGTAGACTGTTTAACAAGTAGGCTGTTTAACAAGTAGGCTAACGTCTATTTGCATCCCGTGCCATATTTGCAACATGTGGGGAAGGTGGTGCAGACTTCACCTGCCGACCCACTGTCCGCCGAGGTCCCACGTGTCTTGCCCTGATGCAGACTTCAGCCGAGTTGCCATTGTGCGTCCTCCCACCCGCTCTGGTGTTCACATGTACACAAATAAAGACAAATATCCCCTGTATAGCCTTAACAAACGGTTGGGGCAAGTGCTTTTGGCGAGCACCTTTGAAGGCCGGCATAGCACACAAGGGGGTGGGTGACCAGCACCATCCCCGGCCGCATTTGTCTCCTGAGTGGCGATGTTTACAAACCGCTCAGTTGACCTCGGGGAGGCCCAGAATCGATTTCGATCATCGCTATCACTGGAGTTGGCCGTGAACGGCAATCAAACTCAGGTAACCAGATTCGCAGTAGAGCGCAATAAAACTGAGCCACTAGTGCTCCCCACTTCACCACCACCACCAGTCACATCCAGTATGTATGCACAGGCACGCGTATGCTGAGGCACATGGACTCAAACACACAGAGAAATGTAATGTTATTCCCCAGGGTGGATTCCAAATTTCTAGACCATTTTCTCACTCGCCCATCTATGGGAGTTGATGGCCCAAGAGGCACAGTAATTTTGAAAAACTGGGGGGCATGCCCCACTCATTGAAGGGTCCTATGTTCAAGGTGAGACATCGCATGGCTCATCAAAGCCATATATTTCTAGTGCACATACACACACAAGTTATTCCATCTTGCCAATTCAAATAATTGAATTGAGGAGCCACTACTGGGGATCCCTGAACCTGTGCTCAGCTGCAGCCGAGCCCTGCATCTCAAGTCAAGTGGGGTGGTGTAGATGGATGGGAGGGTTTGGACCAACCAGAGTTTGCAGGAAATGCCAAGATTGTAGAGTTGATGTTTGAGAATCTGCAACTGTAAAATGCATGTTTACTAGGGATGTGTTCCAGATTCATGGCTTAATCTGAAAAATCTGAACCCAGGTCTTACATTTTTTTTTGGGATAATCCGAATTTCCATTTTTACTCAGATTAATCCAAAAAAGTGATGTCACTGAAAGAAACGTTGTGTACATTGCACCAAAACTGCCATTGTATGACGTTACTTTGACATGTCACTTTTACTTAGATTTATTCAAATATAACATGTAAAATTCTTGTTTTACTAACGTAACTTTAAGTATTCTTTTTTACTCAATGATCAACATTTTCAATTATTAAATTAAGTAAACAAAGAAAGGCATTAAATTGTAATACATTTAAATACGGAAATATGACACAAATAAAAAAAATTGGACTGCAATAAAGGCCAATATTTGAAAAATCGATAAATCATAAACTCATTCAGATTCCCTTCTTCGGCATTCTGGAGCACACTTCGTTCCGATATTAGGAAGCCATTGGAGCTATTAACTTTGAAATCTAGATTGAAAACTCACCTATTTAGAACTGCTTTTTGTGTTTAAATTGTTGTCTTTACCCTGCACCTCCATTTTAAACAGTTGGCAATGTACGGTGCGAAAGAAGTTAAACATACATTCACACATTCCAAATGTGTACCTTTCCCCTCGAGCACGATCACGCCAAGTGCTGGGTCCGTCTGCAACAGGCGGTATGCGGCAGTCAAGCCAGAGATGCCAGCTCCGACCACCACCACATCGGTGCTAATTTCTGCCCCGTGTTCTGATTCTGCCTTCAAGTGAGCCATGGTATCACCTCTTCAGGCCTCTGCACTCCAGCACCTGCCACGTTCAGATTCATTCAGTTAACACGTTTCTGTATCAGCAAAAAATTTAAAGGTGTTTTAAATTGTGTATCGGGAGAGTGTTCGACTCGTAATTTGGAAGGTCGCAAGTTGAAGTCCTGGTTAGGGGTCAACTCAACGTAGTGCTGGACTCATAATTGGAAGGGGGCAAGTTAAAATCCCCGTCAGGGGTCAACTCAACCTATCATGATAACCTGGGTTCCTGGAAATGGTGAAGAGAGATATCTAAACCAGTCCTGGGCCACCTTTCGCCAACCCACACTGAATATGGTGGTGAAATGCAGCGAACCAGCCGTCATGACCGACACAGACTGTAGATGCTTTTTCCCAGCAGAAGAATAACAAAGGGCTGTCATAAATCCTATTATATAATTTGCTAGTGGGGAAACATTCAAATTTAAGCTTATTTTTCAAAATTTCAGTCTTTTCCAGTTGTACAATGCTTTGCCTATGGATTTATGCTCTGTTGTGCATTACATCATCGCTGGTGAAGTATATTTAATCAATATTAATAAGCCATAGGCAGCTTTCAATTGTAGGAATGCTTTTGAGAAAGCACACACACTGTCCCCTCAAGCGCTGCCTTTTCGTTCAAACTCAGGTAAAGATACCTCCGAATATGGGAAATCAAAGGGGACTGGAAACGTAAATATTTGTGTTTTTTTGCTGCTTTCGCTAATGTCTAACATAAATCACCATTCAGCCAGTCGATAGATTAATCAATACCTTTAATCGATCAGTGACATCACCATCCATCACTGCCGCACTGTCCTGGATGCAGCACGCTGTTACTGGCTGGCGGCCGGCGTACATACCAGGGGGTTCAGCCATCGAGTCTCCTGCTTGCATCAAATGTCTTCAACCTCTGGTCTCTTTGGTATATTACTAAAGTTCAGCAGGGGTGTGCTTATGGCTGTCCGATTAATCCAAGTGTACAATATGTCTGCCCCTGTGGGCAAATGTAGCCCGCTCAAAAATGCAGGGGAAAAACTGGAAAGATTGTTTTTCTTCTTCATGCTAATAGCTCAAAATTGGACATCTCTGCTTACACGCAGTTCTTTGCCCCTTTTATTCAGTGAGGAAAAGCTTCTGAGATGAACATCCTGTTTGCAAAGGAGAGCTAAGAGCAAATATACATTGGGAAATATAGTGGACTTGTATTGGGTATATTTTTTTTATTTCAATGAAAATTTAATGAGTTCTCTATTATCAGCACTCTGCTTTATATTTACTGAATTGAATTATTGAACGAAAGGGTTAGTAATGGTGCCATTAGTGTTAATAATTAAGTGGCCCCATCTTGAATACTTTTTAAATACACCTTATGTGCATACCACACTTGCATATAACCCAAAGTATACAGAGAAAGATTGGCTAAACTGTGCCATGAAAATGATTCACCTTTATTATCCTTGTGCCCTTGCTAAAGCCATAGCCATTTATTTCACTTCAGGATACTTTATACGGGAATGCATTACACGTCGCAGATTATGAATTTGGTAATGATGGCCTACCCTTCCTATACATAATAACACTTTGAGAACCATTAACATTTACAAGCAGTCAACAATGTGGCAGTGCATATCAGAAGGAGGTTGAGACCGAAGCAGTGAACCTTGGAAATGAGGCCGTGATATTACCCATAGGATCTGCGAGTCTCAAATGTTACACCCAACATAGGAGTCATAATATGGGGCAATGTGCACAATGTTTTGCTATGTGCTCTCCTTCTGTTATCTCGCCCATGCAGGCGCTGAGCAGGCTATCTTTAGAAGTCCTTGCTTGCTACAGAAATGGCCTTAATAAAACAGGCCCCTTGTATTTGCGCTTGTGCATGTCCCATCAGTAGTGCAACTGTTAGCATGCTGCGCTACGAACCCGATCTCCCGAGTTCGATTCCCGCTCATGATCAACTGCAGTGACGATAATCTGAACTGGTCCTTGACTTCCCCTAGGTCGACTCAGCATGAAATGGAGTACTTGGTGCGGTGTGTAAACATCACCATTGGGGAGACAAAGGCCGCTACGCGTGGTGCTGGCCACCCACCCCTTCGTGTGCCTACCAGCCTTCATAGGTGCTCGCTAACAGCGCTCACACCAACAGTCTGTTAGAGGCTATGAGGGGGATATTTGTCTTGTTGTGCTCTCATAGGTGGCTGGGCAGCCAAGAGATCGATGTGACTGCCATCGAGACAGTTTCACGGAGTGGACAAGTTTAATTTCTGGCTGTGTCTCCAGCTCATTCAGCAGTTCTGTACTGCTCATCCCTATTGGAACGCGATTCCTGCCAAAGGGTTCAGTGTCTCCATTGAATAACCGTTCATCTTCTTGGTTCTTTCGGTAAAGTCACGTAGAAGGGAAGTAATAAAATAATTAAAATAAAACATAATAAAATAATTCTCACGACGTTTCGGCCACAACGCAAGCAGCCGTCCTCAGGTGAAGAACATGTCTGTCGATAAGACAGAGTCTGAATGACACGTCCTAGGAATTATGCTAATTTCCTCTTCAGATGCAAATTATTTTGTCAAGGCGCTCTTCCTCCTCCCTCCCAGCTTAAATAGACGCTCCAAGCCTAGGACGTGTCATTCAGACTCTGTCTTATCGACAGACATGTTCTTCACCTGAGGACGGCTGCCTGCGTTGTGGCCGAAACGTCGTGAGAGTTATTTTATTATGTTTCATTTGTATCATTTTATTACTTCCCTTCTACGTGACTTTACCGAAATAACCAAGAAGATGAATCCCTGCAGTCACGAAAGCTTTAAATCGAAATTGAATAACCGTTGTTGACTTTCCATCAGTAAGAATTTTATATTGAACACTTATGGGCTGAATAGTTCTCCGACCAGAAATTGAACTTGTGATTTTTTGGTTGCAAGTGAAGTATATGGGCCATCTCCTGTCAAGGTGTTACGACGTGTAGAGCCTTATGAAGTGATTTAAAATGTTCCTGCATCATATGTACAACTAAATATGTTTCAATCGTTCAATTAAGAAAGTCTTCCATTTTTAAAGGATTGTTTTTATTCCAACCAGAAATATGCCATATCCACACGTTTCTTTCGTTTGGTTGTTCGTGTCTCTATGGCTAAAGGGACACTACCTTAGTTGGCTCTCGCTGGCTTTCACGTGGAGAATATTTTTTTTATTTATCCGTGTAAAGCTAATCTGATCCGGACTGTGCACCTGATCCAGAGCGCAAACGATTCCAAAGTCCTACTGAGGTCACGAGGCCGTTCCGTGCTCGGTGTGGGAATGAAGTGAAGTGAGAGACTCAAACGACAGAGCCACCCTTGGTGTGCACGTGGGAGTGCGCTGGCAACGCAAACAGCACAAGGCAGAAGACAGCTCTTGTGATGACAAAGCTGGAATGCATTACGTGAGCGCAATAACAATTACGCCACTGGTAACCAACCCGGTCCTGTTTGCTCCGCACATATTATCCAAGGGTTTAAACTTGAGGCGTAATGATTCGCCACCCTGGTGATTCTGTGAATTGTCGTGATTCAGGGTGGTGACTCGATCTTGATTCGCGGCCACGGATAACATTAGTGGCCAGAGTGGTTCTTGATCCCCCCTCCACCCCCCACATAACCTGCAGTCCCCACGTTGGTGGGGTATGGTCAAAAACACAACACCCATGACCGACACGGCACGGGGGAGTTCTTCATCCAGCAGAGGATTGACAAAGGGCCTGTACGTTCGCTCTACAGTATTGTGAATGTAGCGGCCACTCGTGGCTACCGTGAGCTTAAGCCTCGATATTAATCAAAGCATCGTTCAACTTCGAGAGGCCTTTAAACGGCCTCTATCAATGGGGACATGCATTCATCAGTATCGACTAAGTCGTGTACAAAGTGTCACTTGGTCCGCACGTGAACAAGAACTCGCGGCTTTCCCTCTTGCCCATCATCCTCCTCGCCCCTCCACTCCTCCTGCCCCTCCCCGACCCCTTCGTGATCCCGAGGTCGCCTCGACAGCTGTCACTCATCCCTCCATCGCTGTGACTCCGTCCCTGCCGTCTGCGAGAGTTGTGACGCCGCTTTGTAAGCTGTGTCAAGCGCCTTGCGTTGAAGGCGATCAATGAATACAAATTATATGTTCATTTGTATTGAGGACGGGTAAATTGTAGCAGGTCCTCAATATCCAATCATAATACATCGTCAATTTGTCAAGTCTATCAATGCCGTATAAACACAAGCAAAGTAGGCAAAGTAGAATCTTGTGTTACACTGGTAGAATATGCTGATGATTTGCACGGAAGCTTTGTTCGGTTTGTATTGTAACTAGTAAGTCTGTTTGCTCAATTGGAGCGGTTCCATCACATTATAAAGATATCCAAGGAGCAAATGAAAACTATAAATGTGTTGGGATATTCAACAGCGCGACGCAGACTTGCCGAGCCGCCCCTTCTGGACATCTGTGACAAAGATCGTCATCGCTCGTTGGATTCCTCCATGTCTAAGTAAATACTCTGAAAGCCACTGCCGTTGTAGAAACACGTTCAAACATAACCGATGAATCACGTTAATAATGCCAAACGCGTTAAGTTCACGATGCACCGTGTATTTGGTGCGCAACGGGTTCAATTTCGCATTGACCCAGCTACCTGTGAGAGTAGCAACATGCACACCTAGAGCACATTCCCCACGGCGAGTGTATCTATCATCCCAGCGCCTCTCGAACTCACCTTGGGCAGCTTTCTCTCTGACAAGGCACGGTGCTTGAAGCCAACCGCGGTGGCAAAGCGACGATCTGCAAGGATGCAATGGGCTCCACGTGGAGTGGCCAGTGGACACTGGGGGGGGGGGGGGGGGGGGGGGGGGGGGGGGGGGGGGGGCCCAGTGGACACTGGCCGCTTGTGCCCTGAGACCACGAGGAGGCAAAGTCCATCAATCGGCGTCCACACCACGAGCCAAACACAACACCCACAACGTGCGTGTCAGCATAGCCACTGGCCAGCATGACACGGGTTTCAACACTGCAGCTGTCAGTGCATTGCATGCGTCCTGCGTGCCTCGGCTATTGGTTCAACAATCGCAATCAGAGATATCCTGCGAATATCTGGAGACTTCGGGTTTTATTAAATCACAAATGGCTCGTGAATGCGGTGAAATGCACGTACATTGACAATGACCAATGACGACACACAATTACGTAGAACGTGGCTAAGCTTGTTTTTAAAAATCTTATTTTTTGTCTGCAATCACTTCCTTTACTGAGTAATGCTCTCAAACACCATTTTGGTGATATGGCGCAGTGCATGGGAAGTGCTTTCCAAATAATTGATGAGTATGTGATGTTATATACGTTGTCTGGGCATGATCGACACATGTCAGAAATACGAACCTGTAGATGCGAGGTTGGGTGGAGAGCGACCAATGGCACGAGTTTGTCTGGCACTGACTGCAGCAAAATGTGCTGCGTGTCGTGTTTAACAACCTGCAATCTGGAGGGAAGTTAAACCTCCAAGCCCCGCCTGTTTTCCTCTATAAACCCCGCCGCTTACTCATTAGCCCCGCCTCTCATTCACCAGGCCACACCCACTGCCGCTAAGGCCCCGCCCCTACATCTCTAGACCCTACCCACTACTCTTCTTCTGTTAAAGCCCCGCCCCTACATCTCTAGACCCTACCCACTCCTTCTCCTCTTCTTCAGGCTCCGCCTTTTCTGTTTAGGCGCCGCCCACTCACCCTGACACGGTTTGGGCTGGTGTGTGTATTGGTGGTGTTGGGTATTGGTGGTTGTGGGTATTGGTGGTTGTAGGGGCTGGTGGCGTGGGGTATTGGTGGTGTTGGGTGTTGGTGGGGTGGGTATTGGTGGTGTGGGTATTGATGGTGTGGGGTGTTGGTGGTGTGGGTATTGGTGGAGTGGGCTGCCAGGTGAAAATTGGCTTGTTAATGGGAGATCGCAGAGCCGCAACCAAGGGGTCGGCGCGCAAAGTGACTGCGCTCGTGTGAACCCTGTGAAAGCGCATGTTTGAAATGGGCGTAAAGCACAACTAACATCGGAAGGTGGTAGGATGGGAACATCACAGCCAATTATGACAAACTGGTTGATAACGTCCTTCCAATGATTGCTCAGTTTGTACCCATCTTCACGGTTGTAATTGTGTCTGTATATATGGATGGCTTCATGAAATAATCTTTGTTGATAGCCAGTGGGCTTGCAAAGCACCTTCGTCTTAGAGAAATCAATTTCGTGTGAGCCCACCGCATTAAAACAATGATCAGCCACGGCCGAGGTATTGGTCCTACCGAGTTTCAGATCTGCCTTATGTTCACGAACACGGTCCGAGACATGTCGCTTAGTTTCCCAAATGTAACTACTGCCGCAGACACAGCTTAGTTTGTAGATGCCGGGGTATTGCATGTCAGGGATCACATCCTTCACAGATGGGACCAGATCACGAATTTTATGTACTGTGTTAAATCGAACCTGGATCTTGTGTTTGCTTATGATTTTGGAATTATTTTTAGTGACCCCTGCTATGTATGGCAATGTGATGGTTTTGACTGGGTCCTCAGATGATTGGGTCCTCAGCTCTGAACAAATTCCTGGTGAGCCACATGGCCGACCAGCTCTGAACCAATTCCTGGTGAGCCATGTGGCCACATGGCCGACCAGCTCTGAACCAATTCCTCAACCACATCAATTCCATACACCCAGCCATCAAATTCACCATGGAGGTGGAAAAGGATGGCAACTTACCATTCTTGGATGTTTTAATCGAAAAGAGACCAGATGGCTCAGTTGGGACACTCTGTCTGTATGGCAAGGGTGATGGTTTTGATTGGGTCCTCAGATGGTTCTTTCCCAATGGTTGGGGTGATAGCTCTTTAACATGCACATTTTCACCTGGCAGCCCTTTTATTGGTGGAAAACCAACCACCGTCGGCTGATGACATTTGGGCTACGCCCATTTCAAACCCTTGTAAACAGTTTGCCTTGGAAGCTAACCCCGCTTTTCCTGAAGACGACCGCTTGTGTTGCGATTGAGACGTCGTAGTTCTTTGTTATTTTCTTTCAACCTAGCTACGTGACTTTACCGAAAGACCCAAGAATATTTGATTCTGTAAATTTCCGAAAGGTAATCTCTGTCACAAAGCAGACATTTTTAATGACGTATTTCCCGGGTGGCATGAACCACTCTCGAAATTCCATGTAATGAACACATACCAGTCAGCTGTGCGTCGAATGGGTGTGTTCATCCCACTGCTCGATGTCTCACCTATCACCCCATTTGGTTCATATGACTTGTTCATCGTGAAAGGTGCAGGATGTGATTTATTAGTGCAGCCTTTGCCGGGTGGGATGAGGTCATTGCATGCCCTGTCAGATGACAGTGACGTTCAACTTCTCTGTCCATTGCCATGTTTAAATGTATGATTTTTGGGATGTTTGCACGGACACTAGCTGTACGTATGTTTAACTTCTTTCACACCGCACTTAGCCAAGCGTGCTAATCAGAGGTGTTCGGTGGTCCGCTCATCAGAAAACTAAGTGTAATTTACAAGCGACCCACTTTGGCAAAATGCAAGCTACGATTTACATTTTAATGATACAATGACTGTTACGTGCATCATCTCCGCTAATGTACATTAACATTTGACTAGCAGAAACCCGTGGAACTTCCGCGAGGCTTTTATGATGAGCAGAGTGCTATTTATCAGTAAACTGTTATAATTTCACACGCACACAAAGACCCCCCGTATAGCCTTAACAGACTGTTGGGGAAAGTGCTGTTAGTGAGCAGCACATCTGAAGGCCGGAACGGCACACAAGGGGGTGAGTGGCCAGCACCACGCCCAGCCGCCTTTGTCTCCCCAGTGGCTTTGTTTACACACTGCACCAGGTGCGCATTTGAGGCGAAGTCGACTTAGGTCCTCGGGGATAATCGTCAACTGTTCATGCACACTCACTTTGACACAAAGATCCCCCATGTAGCCTTAACAGACTGTTGGGGCAAGGGGCCGTCCATAAATGACGTCACGCACCTATGGGGGGAGGGGGGTCAGACATTTGTCAGAGTGCAGCGCCAAATTAAATACGCACTACAATGACAATAGTTTAAAGTGATTTGAAGCAAGTTTTATTTTTAAAATGGAAATATGGTTTGGCGGGTGGGGGGGCAGAGCTTTGTGACGTCATATTCGAGGGGGGTCTGACTCTTTGTGACGCCGTGTGACCAGGGGGGGAGGGGGGGTCAAAATCGGCCAAAATCGCGTGACGTAATTTATGGACGGCCCCCTAAGTGATATTAGCGAGTAGCACCTAATGAAGGCCGGCACGGCACATAAGAGGGTGGGTGGCCAGCAGCACGCCTCACCGCCTTTGTCTCCCTCGTGGCGAGGTTTATACACACCAGGTACTTTTTTAGGCCGAGTCGACCTCGGGGAGGCGACCTCGGTTTAGATAATTGTCGCTGGGTTTGGGCGAGGGGGAATCGAACTCGGGTCACCAGGTTAGTAACTAACTGCTACATTACCGCTCCTGACACAGACAAAACACATAACAGTCGCCATTCGCCACTAAGTGGCGGTGACATCACCATGGCGCTTGTGCCAGGCTATGTGCACGTTAAGGCCACGTGGAGTGTCGAACGCCCACGGGAAAGACCAAGGTGCCATGGGTCGACTGACTGAATGATGCACCACCTTAGCCACCCGGCGCTCCGCTCATTGTTGTGAGCGTCGCTCCTCTGCCCTCGTTGTTGGAGGGCGACTTCCTCCAACTGCCGAGTAGCATCCTTCACGAGCCTCCTCCACAAGGGCCGACCTTGACGCCGCTGGTACCAGTCATCGGAAAGTCCACTCAGCTCCACATCCTTTTGTACCACATCACTCCATCTCTTCTCTAGCCCGTGCCACGCCCGTTTAGCCCCCTCTATCTGGCCGAACAAAAGCTGTTGAGGCATGCGGTGGCTAGGCACGCAGGCGACATGACCCAGCCAACGCAGCCTTGCCTGCCGGAGCTCACCGATGGGACTTTGCCCAGATCTTTCAAGGATTTGTGAGCTCCTCACAAAATTCAGCCTTTTTAAACACAGGATAGATCGTAGGCAGGCCAGTCTAAATGTTTCTAACCAGCAAATGTTTAATTAGGGGGGTCATGACCGTGGCTGAGAAGACCTGAAACTCCGTGTGAAGCGACAGACCAGGTAGCTTCCACATAGCATTGCGCAGCCAATGAAAATATGCCGCTCAACTGATTCGGAGTGAGGTCTGCCGGTCATGAGCACACTGCCCAGGCATGGGAAACTCGCTCTCCACAACTGCCCCATCACCAATTGAGAGTTGTTGCGGGTGGAGTGTCTGATGGCACAAAATACACAGGCTGGTGGTTTGTTTTGGTGGGGCTGATGTTTAAGCGCACCTCTTCATGGCACGCTACAGGTTCAGCAGTAGCACCTCCAACTCTTGAGTGAGCAGCAATCACCAGATCATCGGTATAGATAACGTGGTTGACCAACAGGGAGCCATACCTTGACCCCACTCGGGCATCGGATCAGCCTCCCATTGTATCTGTATCAGATTTAAATTCCTCCGGTAGTCATCGAAAGCTTCACGTACGTGGTCGAAATGGATGTTAAATAATGTGGGATCCAGAGGGCATCCCTGTCGCAACCCAAGGTGAACAGGCTCAAAATAAAGCCGTCTCTGGTGTGGACCAATCAGTTTCAAAGTCAATTCATATGTTATCAGAGCATTTCTTTTGTTTGCATGTTCACCACAAGTACTTGTGCAGACAGGATTCATTGAATAAGGATTGTTTGGTGTTTTTTTTTTATATTATCTTCGTGTATTATTAAATAAGATAGATAATTGGTTACTGTCGGAATATGCATAATTATATAACATTTTAACTAAAAACATCTATGAGTGCATCTAAAGATGTGCAAATATGGGAGGGGCTTCTTTTTTGGGTGGTGTATTCAGGGTTAATATTACAATGAAGCAGCAACATGGTAAACGAACGAATGAGGACACGTTAAGTTAGTCGTACGCGGAGGTCTTCACTCTGGACTTTAATGTTGGGAAGCATTGTTTACACCGCAACTTAACACGAGGAATTCTGTGTATATAAAAAACAAATACAGTTATTCTTCCGTCTTGATTTGAAGCTTTCGTGACTGCAGGAATCCATACTATTGGGTTCTTTCGGTAAAGTCACGCAGGTAGAAAAATCATAGATCACGACGTTTCGATCGCAACACGACGCAATCATAATCGGTGTGTTGCAATCGAAAGGTCGTGATCTATTATTTTTATACCTACGTGACTTTACCGAAAGAACCAAAGAGCACAGTTATTCTTCCACGTGGGGCAACATTTTATCAAACCACTCAAAACCTCGTGAAATATTGCGATTACGAGGCATTTTAAAATATCAACCATGTGCTGTAGCAGATGGAAGGTGGATTTTATTCCAGGATGACACACGATGGCATTTTCCCCCATGGAGGCAGTGTAATCAGGATTCCAACAGCAGTTTCCAGTTATTATGTTGTCTGTTGGGGCCGGGGGGGGGGGGGATAACCTTGACAATCTTGTGGAAAGAGTTGGAATGAGCTTCGTTATGTTGAACTTCTTTTGTACCATACGTAGCCAACCGTGGCAATCGGAGATGTGATTATGTAATCAAAACTGGCTACTTAAAGAGAAGGAATGAGGAAACCACACAATGTCAATCTTGGCAGCATGCTGGGTGAGTATAGTCTCTCTGTACGACATGTGCCGTCTGTTCCGTGAGCCATGCGGAGCTATCGGCATCCATCGACAGCTGTAACGTGACCTCCTGAAAGACATTGCTCCTGGATACCTGTGTGGAAGTGAGGCCAGTATATCATCATAATCATCACCACCATCATTACCAGTTATATTTGTAGGATGTTTTATCATGCAGTCACAAAATGTAACATACTGTAGCAGATGCTTAGCTCAGTTGAGAGGCTATGCATTCAAACACTGTGCAATGGTCTGTTTAGTTCATTAACTATTGGAGGTTCATACAATGATACATATAATCACTCTCTGGGGATATTGTACGAGACAAGTCTTAAGTGTCTCCCTACTCAACCAACAAAAGTCGTATTTCATAAAGACCCTCCACGGACATATCCCTGCCTACCTCTCTCCCCTCTCATTTCACTGTATCCTCCTCAAAACATTCTACTGCAGCAATTGAGGCACTCTATAGCAACCCTTTGCTCAGTGGAAGATCACTCTTTCTTCCTTGCAGGCCTTGTAGTCTAGAATGCTGTCTTCTCTGCCATCCATGCATAAGTAAAACACAGTAGGGCAGTGCTTATCTTCATTCGTGTCTTAAATAGTGGTGCCTGTCATGGGAATGTGGAATTTCCCACCACTGGCTCAGGGTTGCAATTCAAAATACTCCAATGGTCATTTGAGCAAAGAGCCACCAAGTTGAATCACAAACCTGGTTGACGAGTTGTACTTACAAGTGTGTTTTTCCACTTCAAGTCAAGTAGCATTGAATCACAAACCACTATCTTCGAACAAATCACTTGAATTCAACAATTTCTCCTGTTTATCTTTGTCAAAGTAGAGTGTCTGATGTAAACCAATTCACACCTTACCTCCTTGAAATTCATCTTTTTAAACATGGATATGCTGACCACATTGTCCATTCCTATTTTGGCTTGGCAGGTTTTTATCCCCAAATTCTGCAAACCTGATATTAAATACAAAAATGACACATTAGAAAAAAAAATCTAGAATGGAATTTAAATTAATCTTGGTGTGACACTTTTAAGCAAGAAAACTCATGAAGCTACTTTTAATTAGACGTTATTGTTGTTAGGTTTTATGGCGTTCCACATTTTAATTACACATTGTTAGTGATCTTAAAAAGAGTATCAATCACATTGTTCATAAAGCGAAGCTACTAGAAATGTGTGGAAGCACAAAATGCATATAATATGTCTATATTCATATATACAATTGGCAACATTTGGTAGCACCTTGTAATTCTGGTTAATAGTCGTAGGGTCACATTTAAGCTAACTCTTCCAATGAATTAATGAATCACAATTTTAGACAAAGTTAAAAAAGCAAGCTTTTACATTTACATCACGCGGGTTTCCACTGCTTGCTAAGCCAGCATATAACTACCCAAACTTCCTAGGTAATTGTTATGATAAATTTTAATTGCACGTCAAGGATAGGGCAAAGGCTCATTATCAAGGTATTTTATGAGCGGTTGTTAAATGGCATTAAATATTAATGCCTATCTTTGTTTTTTTCTAACTTAATGAGATTCTTGAAATGTAATAGTATAACATTTAATAATCCAATATAATATACTTGCCATATTGCATCATAATAAGTGTTGCCTCCCTTCCCAGGCCTTTTCCTCTGCAAGTTGGCTCTGTAAATTATAGGCAAGCATGGACAGTCAATTAGCATCCACAGATTTCCTCTAAGGGGTAAACTTAGCCCATCATCCCTCTATGGTGGATACATGTTGTGACACTTTGTGGGAAGTCAAGTGGTTTCCCTATAAACTAGTCTCTGCCACAGGAATGTGGAATTTCCACCATCATGATGGCAATAAAAAATAAAAAACGTGGATTTATAAACGAGCTTGGCACTTCATATTAGGCTATGTACTATTCAGACACACCGAGTGTCTTTCTGCTAAAACCAACAAGAGGGTAGTGAAAATATACCTTGGCAGCTCTGAGCCAGTAGTGGCAATTCCACATTCCCATGGAAAGGGCAAGTCTGTCCATGGCATGTCCACTATTGACTTCCCCCCAAAAATAGTACATGTTTTACTGACCTTTGAGAGATTGTAGGATGGATTCCCAACAAATATTTTAACTCACGACCTTCCAATTGTAAGTCTGACCACATTGCCACTTGCTAACATTGATAGAGAGTGATAACTCAACTTGCTTGTGGCCCCTGCATCACTAACCCATATCGATCAATAAATTTAAAGTATGGCCAAAAATCCCCCACAATGGGCAAAGTGTGGGGATGGGGTTAATTCAGCAGTGGATTGACAAAGAGCTGTACATTATTATTTACTAACATGTAGGACAGATTTAATCACTGTAGGTGAGATACAAATGGAAACAATTTCCAAGAAATGATAATTGACAGCATTGAAAGAACATCCACAAACTGGTTCATATCCAAAGCATAATGTGTTGGTAAAACAACCAATGGCAAATGCTTTTGTACATTTATGAAATGCTAAAACGTACTTGCGTGGCATACATGGTGGGTGTGCATTAAGTAAATTGCAAAAACAATCTGGCTTCCAGTGGAATGTTTTTATGTCACGAGTGGTTAAAAGCATTCGCCGACTGTGGCACAGAAATGCACTTAGCATGAAGCATTGCACCGTCTGCCTTCAAGTCAGCCTTGGAAGGCGAGATAACATATTTATTCTCCATTATGCAGCAAGGATTACATAAAAAGTGAATTTAAATCTGGTGCAATGCTTTTTGTGGATTAGGTAGGCATTTTTTGGAAAATAAAACAGGCTGCCTTATAAATTAGATGCAGAACTGTCAGCACTGGATCAGGAGGTCCTGGACCACAGGGTTGGCAGTCAATTCCAGTGCTTTTTAATCCGTGTCTGATTTATGTGGCAGACTGGTGTCAGGCCATTTTTACGGTGACACTGGATATGAAAGTCAAATGACAGTGTCGTGTATCACGTTGAGAGATTTGTAATAGAATGGAAGAAACGCCACTTAATTTAATAATGCATAAAGGGGAGGATTTGTGAGGTTGTCTCAAAAAATGCCTCATAAGCGGATCGCAAAGCATTGCAAGGGGGTTGAGAACTGAGTGAACAGTACACGTCTGTAAAAACTAGGCTTGTGCAGGTCAAAGAATACTGTGTCCTAAAATTAACATTCGACAGGATTGGACAGGACTGGACTTGAGCAGATCCTTGAAATGTGTATAATATTAACAAAAGCAGATATGTATGATATCTGTGTGCCAAACATTTCTCCCATTTGGGTTGAAATCTTATCACACGTTGCTTCAATCCTCCTTGTCTGCGTAAAATGTAATGACAAGCTACCGAGACACAGTAACCCTTTTTCATGGAGACTTGGGAAACTGACAGTTAAGCATTGACTGTTAAAATATTACTTATCACTGAATGGGAGAACTGTAGAGGGAAAATATAACGCAAGATAAAGCAATTAAAGTTCTTATTGACAAAAGTAACCGTGGCATTCTTCATAAACAGTCAAATTTGAGCTTGGGGAGAAAATTCCCCATTCCCATAACAGGGCCAGTCTTTATATAGGCTGACCACTGTTGCCTTGCAACAAAATGGTTCTCATTTTATCAACCTTCTAGAGATTATGGATGTTGAACTTCTTTCGCACCATACGTAGCCAACCGTCCTAACTGGAGGTATGGGGGATGGACAACAAATTAAACACGTGATGGGCCGGGTTGACCCAGACCAGGCGCTGAACTTATGATAAATGGCCATGCATCAGCTAAAGACATTTTGGCAAAATGCTGCAAGGGCAGAGTTGTTGGCCTGGGATGATCTAGTGTGGGTCCCAGTCGGAGAACACACCGGCAATCATGATCTCTACTTCGGCCAACGAGTGGTCACCGGGGTCGGTCAGGAAGAGGTTAACATCACCGGCCATGCAGGTCTCCTCCGAGCATGGCTCGCGATCCCAAGCCGCCCGCTCCAGTACAATGAACGTGCACTCTGCCAACACAAACACGCCGTCAATCGTAAGGGTCCCTCCGGGAGGGTGGCACACAATGGAATGTGGCAACGGGAGAGAGGAGGGCAGTTTTCAAGGCCGTACCAGGTACCATTTCGAATCTGCGGTTATTTAATTTTAGGCGTCGGGTCAATGACTCTTTAGAGTGTCCCGAGCCTGCTGGTGAATCGTTGCTTGCAATAAAATAAATAAGTCCTTAACTTCGACCAATAAAACCACAAACTTCTTTAGTTCCTTGCAGAGTTTATTATTTTTTGGTGCAATTATTTTGCTGCCTTGTGGCACAGTTATCTGCAGGCAATGTTACTGAAACTGTTACATTTCGATTTAAAGCTTTCGTGACTGCAGGGATTCATCTTCTTGGTTCTTTCGGTAAAGTCACGTGACTTTACCGAAAGAACCAAGAAGATGAAACTGTTACAATTGCCATCATAAGTACCAGAATATCCCTGGCTCCAATTGACTCCGTGGTGTTTGGTAGTCTTGGTATTATGGACAATATCAAGCAATAGTTCCTTGAGGCTTTTACGAGTTATTGAAGCCCGAGCATTGGTCTTTCTTTCCCAAGTTAAGCACGCATTGAGCTGGCAATGCATTAGCTTCAGTCTGCAAAGAAGGACCAATTGAAAGACTCACCGAGTCTCAAGAATAATTGTCAGTAGGGTTTCACTTGGCCTCTTTGGCGATTTCCTTGACAGTTTAACACGTAGGCTTCATTGACAGTTGACAGCAGAGGTCTCACTCCGATTGAGTCGAGTGGCATTATCTTTTCATGGGTTGCATAACGCTGCGTGGAAGCTACCTGCCTGGTCTGTCGCTCCGCACGAAGCTTCAGGTCTTCTCGGCTACAGCCATTCCCTCCCTTCTCTCCGCTTGCGAAACGGGGACTCCCCCAAATAGAACATCTTCGCCGGTTAGAAACATTTAAGCTGGCCTGCCTACGATCCATCCTGGGTTTAACAAGGCTGGATTGTGCGAGCTCACAAATCCTTGAAAGATCTGGACAAAGTCCCATCGGTGAGCTCCTGGGGCAGGCAAGGCTGCGTTGGCTGGGTCATTTAGCTCGCATGCCCAGCCACCGCATGCCGAAACAGCTTTTGTTCGGCCGGATCGAGGGGGCTAAACGGGCACGGCACGGGCTAGAGAGGAGATGAGTCATGTGGTACAGGATGTAGAGCTGAGTGGACTTGCCCGATGACTGGTACCAGCGGTGTCAAGATCGGCCTCTGTGGAGAAGGCTTGTGAAGGACGTTACTGGGCAGTTGGAGGCAGTCGCCCTCCAACAACAACGGAGGGCGGAGGAGCGATGCTCACAACAATGAGCGGAGCGCAAGATGGCGAAAGCACAGCAAGTTGGCACAGTAGGGGGCACAGGTGGTGCTTCAGCCAGTCATCTCAGTCAGTCGACCCGTGGCACCTGGGTCTGCCCCGTGACCTCCTGCCAGCGGGCGTTCAACACTTCACGTGGCCTCAACGTGCACATAGCCTGGCACAAGAGTCGTGGTGTCGTCACCGCCACTTAGTGGCGAATGGTGGTTGTTGTTGTTGGTGTGCATGCATGTGTGCGTGTACGGGGGAATGCTACAATTACATGTATAGCAGATGCGAAGAGACGCATGACGACACTACACTTGTATGTCTGAGTTGGGGTGTGGTAGTATGGCGGTTAGCACTCTGCCATGACCTTGGCCACCTGAGTTCAATTCCTGCTCACGATCAACACCAGTGATGATTATCTGAACTGTTCTTGGGCCTCCCCTAGGTCGACTCAGCCTCAAATGAGTGCCTAGTGTGGTGTGTAAGCATCGCTATTGGGGAGACAAAGCGTTCATAGGTACTCGCTAAAAGCACTTGACCCAACAAATCTATTAGAGGCGATACGGGTGATCTTTGTCTTTGTGTGTGCAGGCATGTGAATGATCTCATGTCCTTGTCCACATGTAAGTGCATATATTAGTGCGTGTGCGTGCAGGTACGTGTGCTCATGTGCGCGCGTGTATGGCTGTGAGTAAATGCGTTCGCACTGTCTGGGTCCTCCCTCCAGCTGCGCTGCATGGCAAACTCCTGCTCCAGGCTCAGCGGCTCTGAGGCGGTGAGTTTCTGTAGCTCAGCGCTCTGCATCCACGTGTGGTAGCTGCACACACACACAGGGCGCACATGTGAACACACAGACACGCTTGCTCCTTTACCCTCCTGTTGTAACAATTCACACTGCACAGCCGATGAGCGAGTACATTATGAAATGTGTTAACACTACAAGTGGAAATTTGATTGCCACCTTTGCTCCACCATAACCCTGATTGACTAACGGTTCCTTCAACGTTTACATATTCAACCACCATCAGAATAATGATTAAGATTGACAAGAGGGCGGCAGATGGCGCAGCGGTAGCACTTGTGTCTCGCAGCAAAAAAGGGCCTGGGTTCGATTCCGGACTTGGGCACCTTTCTGTGGACTTATGTTTTCTCACTATTCTCCATTGGTTCCCTCCAAGTTCCTGCCATAACTTAAAAACACTGCATCGGTCAAATACAACACAATGCTAAAATATGCTAATTGGTATCACAACATAGCAACATTGCCAAGCGAAAATTTGGCAGTCCCCTTCTGAATAAGTCTTGAGACTCGGTGAGGATTTCCTGAGTAAACAAGCATAAGTATTATACCATGGCAATGGTATTTGTGACAAAAAATAAACAACACATGAACAAGGGCACATGTAATAAATTAGGGCAAACACATAGCTATGCACAACGCAATGAAATGAATACGTTTCAATATTGCAAGTTATTTCACTTGCAATATTGATCTGAAAGCTAATGCTAAACTGGAACACAAAGGTGACACAATTACAAACAATGCATTCAAATTAAATGGAGCTATTATGAATAAAAAGCACGACGCAATTCGGGTACAATAGAAAGTGTTCAAACTATCTCACAAACCACAGCTAAAGCTATTACTTAAATTATGGATAATGGCTCAATTAGGCAATCAAGTCAAATCAAGGCTCACACGAGGCCCAATCGCAGCAGCACTCCGGTGTAAAAAAGGGGGCGACATCGCGTCCTGTCAACACGCGCCCCATCAACACGTGCCCTGTCACGTGCCCCGTCAACACGCGCCCCCTCAACACGTGCTCCGTCACGTGCCCCGTCAACACGCGCCCCATCAACACGTGCCCTGTCACGTGCCCCGTCAACACACGCCCCGTCAACACGTGCCCTGTCACGTGCCCCGTCAACACGCGCCCCGTCAACACGCGCCCCCTCAACACGTGCTCCGTCACGTGCCCCGTCAACACGCGCCCCATCAACACGTGCCCTGTCACGTGCCCCGTCAACACGCGCCCCGTCAACACGTGCCCTGTCACGCGCCCCGTCAACACGTGCCCCGTCAACACGCGCCCCGTCAACACGTGCCCTGTCACGTGCCCCGTCAACACGTGCCCTGTCACGTGCCCCGTCAACACGCGCCCCGTCAACACGTGCCCCAATGGTCTTTTTATTGATTGCGCCCTCGAAAATTGCCTGTCCGGTACCATCTCGGGTGGGATATGCTAACAATGATTTTCTTGAAGCATTTCATCTTCAGATTCCAATTATATTATCAATGACACTAAAGACATCGTAGTCGCTTTTCTATGAGAAACAATGTTCTAGTAACAGTCAAAGCTGTCGGTCGAGGGCATGTGGGGCCCCCCGCCGGCCCCTTCAAACGAAACGGGAAGTATTACATCCGACACCGTGACGTGGAGGCGCGGTGCCCCCCAAAGCGCGGGGCCCGGGGCAGTCGCCCAGATTCGCCGCACCCGAGGGACGGATCTGACCAATGTTTTGGAAAAAAAAAATCTTGGGAATTAAATAAATAGGATTATATAAATATGATAAAACAGTAAATACTTTCAAGCTCATGGTCGACTGCCCACAAAATACGTCGGTAGGCAGACTGACATTGGTACCATATACAGATTTCAAAAATTGTCGATTTATATGGATGGTTGTGAATTATTTGAGAACCCACTCATTTCAGATGGTTACCACAATTCACTGAATCACGTACATTGGAACCGCTAAAGATCTGTTCCCTCAGGTGTTATGGACAAATCAAATGTGGTCTGGGCTCACGAACGAATGGTGGTGGGTGACTATCCATGACGCATAACGGTACAGCACTCGTGGCATTCACCACCGCGCCGTGTGCTGCCTGCCAACCCCGCTCGACTCGCGGGCTCCAGGCCAAGGCAACGGCGTCGTACCGCGGCACGTGCTCCCTCTCGTAGGGGACCAGCACCACGTGGCGGCCCTCGAGCAGCGTGTTGGCGTTCACTCGCATCTCGTCTCGTCGCCTTCACTCGCTTAGAGTTGGCAGCGGCGGTGGCGGCGGGGAAACCCGCCCGGCAAGGCCGCCCGGCAAGGCCGCCCGCTCCCCGCAGGTCAGCCGCGAGCGGCGCGCCACTCCAGGCCGCCTGGGGAGGAGAAGCGCTGCGTGACGCGTTTCCCCCCGGACGTGAACATTCGTAGTGCCCGGAACGAAAATCTGACTCCGCGGAACCTAAAATCGCTAATGCCCATTCACACGATCGTCCCGTCCCACTTGTCTGGGTTTCGCCCCCTTCTGTTTCAACAGACAGCTCCGCACACCCACATTAGCCCCGCCTACTTAACCATATAGCTCCGCCCACCCACATTAGCCCCGCCTACTTAACCATATAGCTCCGCCTACCCACATTAGCCCCGCCTACTTAACCATATAGCTCCGCCCACAGCGATTAACCCCGTCCACCCACATTAGCCCCGCCTACTTAACCATATAGCTCCGCCCACAGTGTTTAGCCCCGCCCACCCAGGTTAGCCCCGCCTACTTAACCATATAGCTCCGCCCACCCACATTAGCCCCGCCTACTTAACCATATAGCTCCGCCCACCCACATTAGCCCCGCCTACTTAACCATATAGCTCCGCCCACAGTGTTTAGCCCCGCCCACCCAGGTTAGCCCCGCCTACTTAACCATATAGCTCCGCCCACCCACATTAGCCCCGCCTACTTAACCATATAGCTCCGCCCACCCACATTAGCCCCGCCTACTTAACCATATAGCTCCGCCCACAGCGATTAACCCCGTCCACCCACATTAGCCCCGCCTACTTAACCATATAGCTCCGCCCACAGTGTTTAGCCCCGCCCACCCAGGTTAGCCCCGCCTACTTAACCATATAGCTCCGCCCACAGCGATTAGCTCCGCCCACCCATGGTAGCCCAGTCCAACGGGCCCCGCCCCTTCACCATTGGGTTCCGCCCCCAACCGCGTTAAAGCCCCGCCCCTAAAATAGCGGCTCGGGCTCACGTGACTGACTGCGCGGCCTCGTCCGCCCGGCAGCCCGGTCACGTGATGAAGTCGTCGCCCCCACCCCGCGTTGTAATTCACGTGACCGCCGGAGCACCCGCCACGTGACGATACCGGGAAGCGGGCGGCGTTCAAAGCGGGAGGCTGCGTGAGGGTTACCCGGTTACCTCAGGCAGCGGGTTACCAGGGCAACCGGTTACCGGGGCGACCAGTTACCAGGGCAACCGGCTACCGTGGCGACGCGTTTCCACGGCGACCAGCCAGCGTGATATTCGGTGAGGAGTGTGCGTGTGGTACACACCGAGCACTGGTGTACATGCATTGTGAACCAGTGGTGGACATTCCACGTTCCTGTGTACGAGCCAGATTGTCGAACGACCACTGCTGACCTTCCACAAGTTGTACTGTGTTTTACCGGCCACCGAGGCGTGAGGGATGATGGGTTTGGTTTACTAACCGTGAATCGTTTTACATGGGTTCTCCCGCGCTTTGTTAATGAAGACGTAGGGTACATGTTGATACTGGTTGATCTCACCCCTGCCATGGGAATGTGGAATTACCACTGCTGGCTCGCGGCCGCCGAGAGAGATGAGCGCTTCCGGTGGCAGTTTCGTGGCCCATGAAAAAAGGTGGAGATCCAACACGTGTCGTGAGCCATCTCAGAGTTTGGTTTCATGGTGGCCCCCACACAATTAAAACGGTAATTTATTAACATTTGTGGTGCGGGTAACGGCCTCCCGTGGCTCGGCATGTGTCACGTGAACCTATTCCATGCAACACTCAATTCCATGCATGTTATTATAACTTCATAATCGTTAACCGATGAAATACAACGAATTAATTGTACAGTCAAGTATTGTGGTTACGCACCTCTGTTGAAATGTATCTCATTCTACAAGAGGAGCATCGGTAAAGCTCCAGGATTCTGGTAATACAGCACAACATGCCAATGGGATGTGTTTTTTAAATACAGGTACCACGCACGGCCATTTGTGAGTCCACTGCGGGATTGAGGGTCGCCATGCCATGGCTGTGAATGAGGTTTATTAACCCACGCTGTCCCCGTATAGGTTGGTGAAAGAGGGGAGCATAGGAGTAGGAGCATCGATGCTGGGGAAGGACAACCAACTGGACTGATTTTTGCGCTTAGTTTGGCGTCCTTCCCCCGCACCTCCGATTTGCATGGTTGGGTGCAAAATAAGTTAAACATACATACATACATGTGTACTACACATGTATAACAATACATTTTGTATATGCTGGATACATTTGTTCATTTGCCTTGGTTGGCAACAAAAAACATAACTCATGAACACGTACTCTTCATACAAGGCTGATGATACAAGGAAATGAACCTCGTCATCAGGAGAGCGTTTACTCTGCTGAGTTGAAGCTCTTGCCATTAAAGGCCTGATTTTTTTTATGTGTATGTCAATGCATCTATGTACTGTACTATATGTGTGATCCTCAGATGGGATGGACGGTTCCCACTGATGTGTCTCCTTACGGCACCGAGGAATACAATATGAGAATGTGAGGAACAATAAGGCATGAGGTTTCAAGACCTGAGAAAGGTTTGCAGGTGAAGGTGGTTGAGGGCCGGGTCATGTAGCCCGCATGCCCAAGCAGCTTCTGTTTAGCCGCATAGAGGGGGCTAAACGGGCACGACACGGGCTGGAGAAGAGATGGACTGATTCGGTACGGGAGGATGTAGAGTAGAGTGGACTTGCCGATGAATGGTACCAGCGGTGTCAAGATCAGCCTCTATGGAGGAGGCTCGTGAAGGACGCTACAGGGCAGTTGGAGGCAGTCACCCTCCAGCAACAACGGAGGGCAGTGGAGCGACGCTCACAACAACGAGCAGAGCGCCTTGCGGCTAAAATGCAGCAAGTTGGCACAGTAGGGGGTAGAGCTGATGCATCTACCGGTCATGTCAGTCAACCAAACCATGGCACCTGGGGCTGTCCTGAGACATCCTGTCAGCGAGCCTTTGACACTTCAGGTGGCATCAAAGTGCACCTGGCCTGGCACAGGCGCCATGGTGACGTAACTTGGTGGCAAATGGCGGGTATTGGTATTGGGCTGGTGCAGCAGTTAGCGCGTTGCGCTATGAATTCGGTAGCCCGAGTTGGATTCCCGCTCGCGGCCAACACGAGTGACGATTATCTAAACTGGTCCTGGGCCTCCCCGAGGTCGACTCACCCACATATGAGTACCTGGTGCAGTGTGCAAACATTGCCACTGGGGAGACAAAGGTGGTCGGGCGTGGTTCTGGCCACCCACTCCATCGTGTGTTGTGCTGGCCTTCATCGGTGCTCACTAACAAGACTTGCCCCAACGTCTGTCAAGGCTAAAGGGGGATCTTTGTATTGAGAATGGCAGTGACTGTGTTGAGGCCCATATACTCCTGTTGGCTCTTATATTCCTTTTTATGCAACAGATTTGTGTAAAGTATCAACATTTCACTCATTTCCCAATGGAGAAAAAATGTAACATCGAGATTATAACTATGGTACATTTTCAATAACCGCTCATATACGAATAAAACAACTGCTAATTTGTTGGTAATTTATGTTAAAGTAGTGTACGTATAGTTTTTTTCTTTTTATTGTTTAGATGTTTTCTGTCCCTTATTTCCTTCTGTTGGTATGACTATATCATCCCTCAGGGCTTATATTCGAATACAGATGTTTATTCGAATATTAAGTATTGAAATCAAAACGCCTTTGATTCAATTAAACAGGGCATAACGTAGGCGACGTTCAATTTATATAGAATAGGAAAAAGATGTACGCAGATTGTGCAGGATAACGGTGAAAGATCAAAGTCAGCAGTAAAGATTGGACAGGAAATAGGAGAATGGTTCACAACGACCATAGGGACAAGACAAGGAGATGCAATATCACCAAACACCTTTGTTACATACTTGGAAAGGGAGATGGATTGCATCTAAGACGATGGAACAGGAATACCGATACATGGTGAACATATCAATAATTTAAGATTTGCAGACGATATAGATTTGATAGAGGAAAAATGCAAATTGTTGCAGAAAGTGTTCATACACTGAATAATTCAGCAACGAATGCAGGACTGAGGATCAATGTGGAAAAGACAAAGACGATGGTGTTTGGAAGCAAACGCATTGAGAATGAAATAATGACAGGAAACCTACAGATAGAGAATGTACAAAATGTGTCTCCTTGGGAAGCATATTGACCTGGGACAATGACTGTATGAAGGACATGATAAGAGCAAGGATCGCGAAGGCAAAAGGCTTCATGGCAGGATTTAACAACATATACAGAAGCAAGCAAATTAGCTAAAAAAAACAAGCTGAGCATCTTAAAAACATGCGTTTTCAGCACAGCTTTGTATGCCTGTGAAACTTGGACACTAAAAAATATTGACAAGGACAAAATACTGGCATTTGAAATGCACTGCTATAGAAGGATACGACATCTTATTTGGACACAAAGGGTGACAAATGTAGAAGTGAGAAAAGACTGAACATAACATGACACTTGATGCAAGTGGTAATGAGAAGGAAACTGAGCTTGTTTGGGCACATGCAGAATGGAGAACAACAGGAAAAAAAAACTGGAATGATGGGAATAATGGAGGCAAAGTGGAAGAAGACCCTGTCGAGAATGGCTGGATGGCATGATAGATTGGTGCCAGCGAGATGTGCATGGGCTTAGCATGTCGGTACAGGATAGAGGGAAGTGGAAACAAGTTGCAAAAATTAGCAGTGGACACCTACGAGATTTCTGCCCGTGGAGTTTGATGTTTATCTGATGTTTATCTTATTTCTCTTGTCATTTCCTTATAGACCTGTGCCCAATTGCTTAAAATAGCTCGAAGAGGTTTTGCTCTTAACCTGTGAACTCTTCTTTTTGAAACAACAGACTAAGAGAAAAGTACAGTACCCTAAAGGCATTAAAGCGCCTACTGGATATACTGCTGCATATTACTCTTGAGTCATTCATAGATGTAAATCTGCCCAGTGTTGTTCCTCTTTTGCTGTGTTTATGACCCAGGTTGACACACCTCTGCATTGTGCTATATTGTGTTTTTCTTTCTTGCAGGTCACTCTCTGTGCTCTGAAGAAGTTCTGATTTTCTCTTAAGTTACGTGCATGCGTGGCTTGGTGCGTTGTTGACAGACACTTGGAAGCACTTCAAACTCATCCGCCATGGCTGGTGACATCACCGATACGGGAGAACTCTACTCACCTTTTGTGAGTATGGCATCACGAGTGCAGTTTCGTTCAAAGCGTGCACCTGAAATCTCGTCACCGTACCTGCGGTGGCTAGAAGTTGACTACCTCGCCTGGTATACAGGAGGTTGTGGGTTCAATCCCGACCCCGATGCCTGTATTTACACATTTTTTTGTGGTTTCACGCTTCAACACACCGGTGGGTTAAAGCAGTGAACTATTTGTCTTTTGTCAACGTGACACTTTTTTGCTGATTGGCCGTGTCGGGTGGTGGAGGGTTACAACACATTTATAAACAACGCGATCTAACCCAAAACGTGGATTATGAATAATATTGGTCGCGAAAGCCTACGTGTTAAAAATTATCATTATTGAGAGATGGATTTCTGTCTGTCTATTGAGTTTCTATATTTTTCTGGTGGTGTACACAATATGCTTGTTAAATGACTCTATTTGCTATTTAGTGAGAACATTCGCAACAGTAGTGTTAACCCATTGCTCATGGGTAAAGGGTCACAAATGATATGTAATTAAATCTATGTAAATCTGTACAATTTGGTTGTATCTGCTGATAAGAGATATAATTGAACGATCTGTATTGCTCTGTTCTATTGAGGCATCAATCTGGGTGGGGGCAGTTTGAAGATTGCCTGAGTCACCCCTCAATCTAAGTTTAAGGTTGACTCGGCCTAACATCTCTCCTTCATCGATAAAAGATTTACACTTTCGTGGGAATTTCCTGCACTTGCCAAGGGCTGACAGTGGTGATGAGCAAGTGCCCCTTTACTGCTTTCAACATGGGGACACTAACCTTTTGGCTTGTGACAACACCAGGTACAGTACTGTTGTTAACTTGACTGCTGGTGTCATGTTTGCCCTTGCAATAGTAAAGAGTAATTTTCACTTGTCAGCATCTTTATTCATGGGTCAAGACATTGTGTCTCTTGAGTACTGAATAGTTATTACACTTTGTTTCCGATTCATTTTATGGGCAATATTCCACCAGTGTCAAATGGTCAATTATAATAGACTTGAGTTGTGGTGTACTTAGATGTTTTATAAATTCAAACTTTAATAATATTACCCTGGCTGGCACAGAAGCCCTGTGATTATTTGGCTGCTGTCACACTAGGTGTTTAAATTATTATAAACAAACTTTAAATTCATTGTATAGAATGTGAATACATTTAAACATGAAACAACAGCACAAGTCATGTCTGAAGGTTAAAGACCTGCAAGTACATGAAATTTTACTCTGTTAGTAGTGATGGAAATTGACATTTCAGTGAAATGTGTTTTTCCTGTTCAAATAAGGAATTGGGTGGTACTCACACTCCTTTCTTGGCTATTAGCCAGTGGTGGAAATTCCATCTTTGTTGGGGTAAAGGCCAGGCGATCCATACAATTACCACTGTTAACTTACTCCAAAAATGGTCCTCGCATTGTTGACCCTGAGGAGGCAATGAGCTGAGATGATATCTGCGTGGGATTTTAACTTGTAAGTGATGAGCGGAGATGACATTGCAATTCCTTACAGGTGAGTCACATGCTAAGTGGCTGATTACTGATCTATTGCATAATTGCATACGCCCCCACCTCCGCCTCTGATCGCGAATCTTGATGGGGTTCAACAATGATGACGTCATCCGTCACGATTTCAGACCGGAAGCAGGTGGATGGTTTCACTATTCTGGAAAATCGCCAGAAGATGCTGGATGTAATTTCCAGCGAAACGTCGTACTACTCAAATTGTAAATGTTATTGATCCACTCTTCAACACACCGGTGGGCTAAAGTAGTGAAATATTTGTCTAGATTTGAAGCTTTCGTGACTGCAAGGATTCATACTCTTAAGTCACGTAGACAATAATAAATAATAAAATAATAGAAATAATTGAAATAAAAGAATAAATCACTCTTTTATTGCTATTATTATTAATAATATTTTATTATTTATTTTTCCCTACGTGACTTTACCGAAAACACCTAAGAGTATAAATATTTGTCTTTTGTCAACGTGACACATTTTTTTACTGATTGGCTGTGTCGGGTGGTGGAGGGTTGCGACATTTATAAATAACACGATCCAACACAAAAACCTTTATTATGAATATTACCACTCAGTGCTTGAATTTTATATGTGTAAGGCTCATTATAAACACATTTTAAGCAGAGGTCCTCATTTGGCTAAATGCAATGTCACATCACATTATCGTCTTCAGAATGGCATGGGTTAAATCTACATAATATAACTATTTAGACAAATGGGGAGAAGACTAATTCCCACAGTTTGGATAGAAATAGGGGTTCATCTAAAATCTAATTTTGCCATTATTCTTTGCTTGGAAAATTGCATTAACAAAATCAATGGGTCAATTTTGTGCTCCAATAACATTGCAGCTCTAGAGTTGGTTATAGTTGCTTCATGAATTGAGCGTTTCAGGGATCGCTGACCTGGAGTAATGCTTTTCTGAAGCCTCTATACGTTACGCGCTAATACTTTTTATTCATTATAAATTTAAATGATGGTGTGACTTTATATAACCTGTGTGAGCTATTGTATGCATATAATGTACTAAAGTATTTATTTATTCATATGTGCAGTAGTTTATTACACGTGCACTCTTGAATCTATTTGCATGCTGTGTAGTTATACTTGCTGTTATGTCACCTGTATTTGTGTGTTTCCATAGTTAGATTACCTCATTGGGTTTGTGCACAAATCTGTGCTGCTGTGGTGCACTACGATCCTGGAAACCTGGGTTCGATTTTCAGCCACGTGTAACATCAGTGGCAAGGTTGACTCGGCCCTATAGAAGTACCTGCCGCGATTTGTAAATATTAACACTGGAGAGACAATGAGGGCCAAGGATGGTTCTGGCTACACCACCCTTTTGTGTGCCACGTGGGCTTTAGTAGGTGCTCCCTAAAAGTACTTGCCCATGTGGTAGGCGAGGCTGTTATGGCAACTTTTGAATCCGGTGCATGGAGGATACCAAGTAGAAGAGACTCCATAAACAACACCTGACTAAAGATGCAACACAAGACTCAGTGCATGGTCTGTTCTAAGCGTGGAAAATGTTGCGTAGCCAGGATTGGTCCCACCAGTCCTATTCAAACCCATTTGCTATCCATTCCATTTGGACTCACGACAGTCGTCATCATCATGAGGTTAGATGGACGATCCTTTACGTTGTGTCTGTATGCCACCAGGTGGGGCTGGTGTACATGTTTAACCTGATCGTGGGGACTGGAGCACTCACGATGCCCAAGGCCTTTGGCATGGCTGGTTGGCTCGTCAGCCTCTTCCTCCTCATCCTCCTCGCCTTCATGAGGTATCTATCAATGGCCGTGTATGTGTATTTTGAGTGTTAATATGTTCGTCCTGACACAGACACTGTGATGACATCACCACCACTAAGTGGCAAATGACGACTGTTGTTGTTTGGGTGTGTGGTGGGGAGCGGTAGTGTAGCAGTAACAGTGGCGGAAGTCTGAGCTGCTCGGTTCAGCCTTAAATAAGTACCTACTGCAGTGTGTAAACATCAGCACTTGGGAAACAAAGACGGTTGGGCGTGGTGTTGGCCACCTACCCCGTCGTGTGCCATACCGGCCTAAATAGGTGCTTGCTCACAGCACTTGCCCCAAAAAGTATGTCAAGGCTATACGGGGGAGTGGGGGGGGATCTTTGCCTTTTCTTTGTTTGCGTAGGAATCTGGTGCCGTAGTGGGAAGTACAGGTGGAACATGTGCCACCAGTCATCAACGGCAATTCCATACATTCTTATTTCCGCTAGCTTGCACAGTACAATTTTGTTATTATTCTGCTACTCTCACTGTAGTGCGAAGTAAAGATGCTTTGCAAACTAGTTTTTTTGTGGGCAGTCTTACCCGGTTTATTAAACGGTTAATAACTTGGCAGCTCTCTATTTCAGCTGACGGTTGCGATCCTGTTAATTGGACTTTTGACCTTACCTTGCAAACTTTTCATTAGCTAGTCAATGGGGAATTCAACCATTCTATTCAGGTAAATTTACTCCAAAAGGAAGAAGTTAAGTCTGAAAAAAGTTTAGAGTAATTGAGCTGCTCATTGATATAATGTTTGTGCTAATAAGCCAATCATTTGCTGTTTTGATAAATCATGCACTCTGAAGTCGTATGTGTATTTATTTTACAATTTGCATGTAATGTCTGTAACAGGAGGCATCTTACCTCTTGGTCCTTCAGTGAGAATTGATAATTATTTTCATTGTCATGAACAAAAATGGGTTAACCATATAAAATTCACGCAACCATTAAGAATGCATTTAATGCGACACAATGTTGTAAATAAAACTCATGCCAATCCATAAAGCAATTGAACCGGAATGCATTTTGCAGTGGGGAATCGAGGGACACTTTGTGAAATGTTATTAAATGTATTTCATCCACGGGTTTTATTTGGGTTAACGGTGCTTCATAAGACTATCGCACCTATAGGTTTGCTTTTTTTTGCCATTCTGGCTTGAGAGTTAAGTTAACATTGCATGAGATTTTACATGCTGCTTTTATTGCAGTGTTTTCTGCCTTTAAGGACCATTGATCTTGGAAAAAACACTGCAAATCAATTTGTGTGTCATTTGTGTGCGTGTGCATGCACGTTGATGGAGAAGTGTTTCTTCTATTTAGCCAGGCCTTAGGCAGCTCAGCCTAAATGCGTGTGTGAGGCATACGTTGATTCATCAATTAAGTTTATTCTTATAATCAGTCTATCGACAAAGGTTTGCATCTAAGAATATTTTTTTAATTAATTACTTTTTATGCCTTCATAACCATTAGCCATTGTCAAATCACTCCTGGATGAAGGCCTCTATGGTGTCAGCATCTGTCTCGGTCGTGCGATGCCACAATCCATCATATGCATGGGCTGATCTCATCACTCCGTCGCAACAGGGTTCATTTTCTTGGACACATTCTCTCATTTGGCTGCCATTCCATCACAAGTTTCATCCATTGGTCATCTCATCTTCTTGCAATGTGTCCTGCCCTTGCCTCACTTATTCTGTACTCATGCATGTCACCTGTCGGATAATAGAACAAATGAGACCAAACAATACGATACACGCATTACAATAATATATTAAATATGATTGAGTATTGAATAGAATCGTGACCCCTAATCCTGATGACAATGGAATACCAGGGCAAGTGCTGGCCCAGAATCAATGTACCGTTCCAGAATTAAGAGTCACTCGCAAACAACACTTATACTAACGGTCAAAAATAGGCAATGTATGCAAGATTGAGTAAGACGCTTGGCATTGAAGAAATAATAAAATGAGTAGTTGAAATCTCATTAACAATTAGCATGGCCCCATTGGAAATGTACTTGTTTTGGGATTAGTGCAGGCCATTACTTTGTATGTTGGGTACGTTTAAATTGCTGTTTACCTTGTTAAGGGGTTTTAATTACTGTATGTGTTGTTTAGCCTTTTGGGAATGAATGGATCAAATAGGGTCAGCAGTGTTTCCAAAGACTGAGGCATTACATTCTATTAGTTCACCAAACCAGTACCCTTTTAAAAGAGGTTATTTCCTAAACACACCATGCAATATTATAATGATAATTCTGATTACATAGTGCCTTGATACATTTTTTGGGTTGTAGCGCACATTGTTTGGAATGATATCCAACATTTGGCTCCACGTGCTAGGAGCTTCATCAGGAAATGAATTCGGTAAAACCTGTCGGGATTACATTCCTGAAGAAGCTCACAGAACATGGAGCAAAATGTCGGACATCGTGCGGAACAGCACACTGTACAATCTGGAAACACATTTGGAGAGCTGTACAGCACAACTGCGAAGACCTATGCAGTCCTAATACAAATTGCATGTTTGTTTGTCTTCAAAGCTTCGTGACCACGACGTTTGTTGTTGAAGCGATGGCGGCAGCAAACGCGCACATCCGCTGGAAGAGCAGCGAGGAGAAGAAGGAGGTGGGCATATTTAAAAAAAAAGTTTTTTTTTCTACGCAACGTTTTTTTTTATTGAAGCCAAGAGCACAAATGATGAAAAAAATCGCCATGACAATATGATTTAGCGCAGTTTTGTCGAGTTCTCAATCTGACCATGTGAGCCGGTCAAATGGAGTTCCTGCTCAATTGAGCATGAGGTTGCGTCAATATATCTATTTAATGCCCTGAGTCACTGGTTCAAGTTCCACATTGTTATGACAAGTGCCTTTCACTTCACAGGACAACCACAGTTTATTTTCCACAAATTGGAAGACATTTTATTTACCCCAGCGCAATGATGGGCTAAATTGTGCATTTAATGGAATTTGAACTTGCAGCCTCTGATAGCAAGTCTAGCAAACCGAGTCAGAATGCGACGTGGTCAGATTCCGCTTTGGTGGTTCACCACATTATAAAGCCCTGACCCATATCAGTTGATTCAGGTTGGAGTAGGAAAGTAGTGAAATCCCAAATGCATTGATTGCCATACTCATGAAAAGCAATTTTGTTTTACAGCTAGCAAATGAATGGATGAATATGCAATCGCTGTTAAAATGCTACTGTGAGTCTTATTTGTGATGGTGCACCACACTAATTACAATCTTGGCCTAGTAGTGTGGTTGAGAGACCCGTGTACAAATATGGTCAATGTCCCTTTACATTTTGAAAGAATACGAGAGTACAATGCAGTCTTCGCAAATGGATTGGTAATACAGTAACCTCATTGTTTATTTGTTCCAGTGTTGCCAAGTGACAGAATGAAAATAAAGAAATTAAAAAGCAGAGGATTATTCAGAATGTGATGTCTCTTGGGTTAGAACTGGCAGTTCAAAGAGAGAATAGCTCTGTTTCTATGGCAAAGAGCTTTTAAATCCCCTTTAATTTACGGTGGAATATTAAAATTGCATTTGACCTGGACACTTTGACCAACATTAAACTGTGTCTAATTTCATGAAGCCACCTTTCATCAAAGTAACTCGATAAAGTGAAAGGAATTTGCCTGTGAACAGAGGACGAAAGAACAGGACAGAGCAGAGGGTTAGAGGCAGATAGAGCATTTTTAAATTTCCATCATGAAACGGTGGAGTTGGGGATAATTCATCTATTACTCTGGGTGAAATGAGCTATTTATACAATTTTAGACCCGTGATGAAAGTAAGTCTTGATAAGTCACGGATGATCACCAGAGACAGATGCGGTCCATGAACCCTTTTCTTGTTTTGTTTTGGCTCTGCTTGTGTCCTGTTGTCCAATACACCTCCTGGCATACTTAAGCATCCAGTATCATTGACTCATTACTGGCTGCACTGACCTAGGCAGAGACCCTCAGTCACCACAGCATTGGGAAAAAAACAGGATCTCACTGGGTTGGGTGGTGCAGTGTGCTGATAATACACTGAAAGTTATTTTAGAAATTAAAGTGGGATTGTAAGAGAAGGCTTGCGCATGGGCACTCACTATTCAGTATACGGTGGCGGTGGTGTAAACATTTACTGCCTCCTTCTGTTGAGATTAGCAGAAAATTGATTTGAGACCAGAATGGAACCAATTAAAAAAATTGCAAAGACTTAACATCTTTGTCACCATAATTTTTACTGAAATATCAGCATTATAGTGCATGTGCAGTCCATGTCTTATCAGAGTTTTACCATAGACTGCAAGTGCAGCTCCGTTTACGCCGGTGCTGCTTAGCTCTGCTGAGCTTCACACTTGCCAGCTGTTTTCCTGGTGGCAACATGACACTCATCGATTATGATTCGTTAATCACTGTGAGGATCCCGTAGCGCTTAGGATGGCGGTGGGGGTGTGCAGGATGAGTTTTGACACTTCACACGGGGATAACTGGTGTCGTCCTTCTCAAGTGGTGCGGTGTTTGTCAGTTATGGCTGTGCATGATTCCATCTTACATGGAGTCTTGGACTACTTCCTGACGTCAACACAAAGGACGCATCGCCATACTCAATCTTTCATTTCCACAACATAGGGACCTTCTTAAAGTTGTATGATAATTATATGATTAAGCACATTGTGGAATGCATATAATATCTCTGTGGAAGGTCTGCTTTTGCAGTCATTACTTGTAAAAAAAAGCATTTTACAGTGCTTTTACATGTGTAATGTGAGGATATATCCGGCTCAATGACATATCACAACTCGTCATGATGATTGGCTCTGCCGGTCCTGGTTTATAGCCAATGGGGGGAAGCCTAGGGGTGTTGCCCTGACGTAATGGAAAGGTGACAGCTGTAAGTAGGGGATTGGTTCTGCTGGCTTTGGCCACAGCCAATGGGGAGATGAGTCAGGGGCGTGGTCCCGGCAGCTTACGAGGGGGCCTGGAATATTCCATGGAGGCTAACCAGGATTGGGGGAAACGTACCACGTGACCTGGATATTAAATAGGGGTGGAGACGAACGATACGTGGTCAGAACGGGAACGAACAGAGGAAGGGGGCCACGCGGGAGCGGGGCTCCGGGTTGCCACGTGGCAGTGTGTCTCTCTCTCTATCTGTCCCTCTCACGCTGCCTGTTAGCAGCGTGAAGTAAAAGCTGTATACAAGTTGAATAAAAGACGGATTCCAGAAGTTGCCTCAACGAGCTTTATTACACATGTAATGGGTGTTTTCTTCGTAAACCTCATTACATGTCCGTTTAATCAATAGAGTGCACTGAAAGTCAAAATTAATGAGAAAAATATTCCATTGAACCTCGAGTTATGCCCATTTTTAAAGTTGCCCGTTGCATACTGATAATTGAACGGAATAGCCGGTGTACCTACAGCTAAGTTGCTCTGGAAACTGGCACACTGCTGTCCCTTAGGTGTTAACCCTGACCTGTAAGGATCCTTGGGTGTTAACTCTTACCTGTAAGGATCCTTGGGTCTTAACCCTGACCTGTAAGGATCCTTGGGTCTTAACCCTGACCTGTAAGGATCCTTGGGTCTTAACCCTGACTTGTAAGGATCCTTGGGTGTTAATCCTGAGCTGTAAGGATCCTAAAGGTTGTATCACCTGGTCCTCTGGCACTTTTGTTACTGTATAATGGTGAACCCTAAGAATCCTAAAAATGTTTTAAGCCAAAGTTAAACAGCATGACTTGCAAATTTGCTGATAAGAGCAATGTTAATGTATGTTTTGGGCCATATGTAATAGGCTGCAGCACTTGGGGAAAAGAAGTTGCATATAGTTCTGCAATACACGACTTTGTTCAAATCTCCGTTCTTGTCGGTGCACATTCAAGAGCGCTGCGATTGGCTGAATTGAGGTCACTTTGGGTCATCATGGCAACGTGAATGCAATACCTAAATATATTTTATACATGTGTGACGGCACGGAAATGTTTAACACGAATTGTAACTCTAATTTGTCTAGCAATACTGACCTCTGGCCATTACATCCAACATTTAATCATATTCTAGTATGTGTGTTTTATATATATGTTTGCTATCTGTGTTACAGTTCAAGTCTGTGACTTAAACATGGGCTTGGTATCACAATACACTGTCAATATACAATATCGTAAGTTCGTAATCATCGTCGGCCAGTGTCTGTCCATGTCACAGTCCATCTCAGCCCTGCACGTGAACCGATTCCATCGCTCCATCCCAGCACTGGTCACCCTTTGATGGACTTCCTCACCAGTCTCATCCATCCAACAGCCATCCTGCTGGATTATAAAAAACTGAACCCGCGCATCTTTTGTTGCTTTACGCGCCAATTAAAAACCGCGACAACAGAAATGAACCAACTCTCGCAGCATTGTTAGCACAATGTAGGTTCAGCATTATAAGGTTTTTGCACTGCCAGTTTAGTCTAGGCCGACAGATGGGCTCACAAATGATATTGCACTTTAAGGGAGGCGGTGTATAAAAACCACTAACCTAAGTAATATTTTAATTAAACACACCGAGCAAACCATGTCCCCATTAAATTTCTGCACAATCTCATTTCCTGACACTATATTGAGTGATGAAAACTTCTAATCTGCTCATGTAATGCAGCTGTGTAATCTGCGTGTGTGCCACCAGAAAAACACTTGGGTATAAGCAGCGCTAAAATTACCTCTGTGATTTAATTTTGGTCTCTGCTTTTAGAATTTTTTCACTGGTACTTTATTTATCCAGCAGTCTTAATATCTGTCTTCAGGAGGGTCCTGCATTTGGATGTTTGGCAATTTTTATTCTTTAATAGGACCCAGAGAGAGGGGATAATACAGAAAGACCAGCACAGAATATTCAAACTATTATTTCGTACTACCGATCTCCTGGCCACCTTGCAGGCCAGTGGGTCTGCAAGGTTCACAAATTAGACACGATTCACCGATCCTATGATTCATGATCGATTTTTGAGTTCTGGCAATTGCCTGATGATGCTGGTTGTAACGACCAGCAAGATGTCAAACTCAATTGTTAAATGTTGTGGGGTGCTCCCCAACAAACCGGTGGTGCTGAAGCATTGGAAAACATTGCTATGTTTTTTTTTCCACATAACCACTTGATTAATTGGCTGCGTTGGCTGGAGGATGGTTTAAGACACATTTTACTCGCGTGATCTGACGCAAAAATCTATTTTGAATCATCAATTATTTTTCGTGTGGGAGAATGGCTTTTGTCTGTACACAATAAAACACAGCCCTCTATCCTGGAATGTGTCTCACCAGTCTTTGCACCTGTAAACTGTGCTGCTTCAGTGAGCCCTATAAACACAATTATTCAGGACGTTTTACCCCCGGACCATATTTTTTCAGCTACATTGTGCAATGAATAGCGTACCGCCGTGGCTATGCAATTTGTAAACTTTAGAAAATCTGACATGATTGCGACATACGGTGCATCTACACAAATACAAGCAACAGCCTTGTTTAACTCGTCGCTGTTAATTTCTCATCGCTCATGCCCTCCCTGCAAATTGAGGCATCAGCATCATCCCATTTAGGGCTTCCTACCTCCCACCATACCACCTGCCCACACCACCTGGAGCCCCTTT